AAAACAGCGGGCCATAGTTACCTCACTCATCAGACGAAACTCAAAAAAATTATATATATAGGTCTTATTTTCTCCAGACCTTCCACTGTAGAAGATAAAAATAATATTCTTAACATCACTATCTGATGTCTGAAAATGTTAGCGGTAAGCTGCGGTAAAGCAAATAAAGCTGCTGAAACCAATTTAACTTACACGTATTAAATGCTCCGAAATGAGACGAGTTCTAAGCTGCCAATATATTAACGGTATTAGCCACTTTTTACGATGGATTTCTTTCCTTTTACAAGTAATAATGGGATCAGATGATAGAATCACATAGAAGTAGTAGAATATCGCTTGTTTATTCTCTTTTAAATCCGTACTATCCTTACTAAAATTATAAACGCAAAAGTTGTATGCTTGTTGAATGTTTATATATAAAACGTGTATGTACAGATGGATTTTTGTTACTCTTGCACGCAAATACTACTGAATGGATTTTCATTAAACTTTACAATAATATAGCTTATATGTACATCAGAATAAGACATAGGCTATAATTTATATTCATATTTTATGTATATCTGTCTTTCTGTCTGAATGTTACGCCTACAGCCTATTCTACGCAGACGTAGTTATGGGCACCAGCTAGTTATGAAATTTGAAAGGTACACGACTTAATATTCCAGAAGTTTCGACACGAGCCTGATTTCCTGCTATAGCTGCGTTTAAATTCACACTGTATTCAAACTAAAGGCCTATTCGCTATATGATATTTAAAAAGAAGCTAGTTTGGAAAAATATACCATAAAGCGCTATGTGGCGTAGTCCAAAATAGACACGAGCGTGATAGGTCTTTTGTGGCACGATGCTGTACAATACCTAATCCCAACTTGGTATTAAAAATTTTTTATAAGGAGAATTCTAAATGACTGATCGAGGAGTCTGTATACTGTGTCACTGTATTGGTACACTGAAGGTTTCAAAAATATAAGAATGTACGCCTCTTTATTAAATTAACCTGCGTTTATCAACGAAAACTTGGAACGTTTCATTAAAACATCGCAAGCAATGAGCTTAATTCTTCGTACAACAATGAAACGCTATTGCAATTTTCAACGTTGTTTTAAACTGGTAATATATATCGTGTACTTTACAGCTTTTAATTTAACAGTTTAACGAATGTTCATACTTGTTGAACGGTGTTACACAGTTCATTAAATCGCAATATGATTAAAATGGACATTCATCATATGACAGGATAATTCTTTAGTTATCTAATTAAAATGTATACACACATGATACAAACATTCCAGGCGTTTTGTGAAAAGGTTAAATAACTTAAGGGAAATACTTAGGTAGAAGACAAATGACATTGTGAGAAAGAGTCAATTCAGATGTCGTTCATGATTAAAATCGTTGACAGACAAGCTCAATAGCTAATATAGTCAAATGAGCGTTCCTTATTAAAAAAATACGTCTCTTCTGATTATTGAGTCACACACATCATTTCTAAACAGACGTAAGTTGAAATAATATGAAAATGCATCAGAGCTTTGCCACTTGACGATGGTTGGCGCAGATGTTGACTGGTTTCAGCTGTTTGCTCATAAATTATGGTTTAAGCTTCAAAAGCTTAATGTCAACAGCGAAGATCTTGTAGTAATATATTAAACACATGTCTGACAACATAAGGTAAATACTCGCAAGATAAATTGTTATTTCCTGCTAAGAATAAAAGATAAATACACCTTAATTATTACATCCGAAGAAATTTGCCAAAAAGGTTTTGACAAAATCGATAAAATTTCTCAAAATGCAAAAATTCTATAACTTACATATCAGAAAGCCAGGGAGCTAAATATTTAATAATGAAAAAATATAAAAAAAATTAAAACCTGTCCAGTGCGAGTCCAAATCATACGCCATAATAAAATAAATTGTAAATAATCACCACTGATTTTCTCAGGAACGGGTGGACCTAGCAAGTTATAAATACTGAAGTCTATAGTCTCTATTAAGTGTACAAAAATCTTATTTTTATTATATCTTTTTATCTAAGTCCTGAGACAACAGGATAAAAAGATATGGGAAAATTTAGATTTTCGCGAAAACTTGTAAGCACTAAAAGTCATCTTAATTTTCAACTTTTTTTTATTTTTCCGAATTGCCCCTGTACTTATGGAACCGAAAAAATCGATGGGTATGGTTAATATACATTATCCACATTCATGTTTAGCCATAAAAGATTTCATGAGAGGTGTATGGAAAGTAAGTATGTAAGTTGAAGTGCCTTATTTTTTTTTTTCAATGGCCGAACACATCAACTGATTGATATAAGTGGTGACATATACGTACAATAGCACACTTATATCGAAAAAATACGACTTGTAAACTCAGAGTATTCTTAATGTAATCCAAGTTAAGAGCACTTATTCCATCCTAATACAAGCATCGCTGAGTTACAAGTGGTTACGTCAAATAATATAATCATTGTACCACTTCTGCACATCTGAGCCACTTTATGTGATAGTGAGAAAACTATTTCTTATACGATAATAAATTAGGTTCGGAGTAAGGATAAATTGCTCAAATGTGTATTGTTGAATTTAACTTTATCTTCGACTTGACCTCCTGACGGTAAGACAAATTTCAAATTGAAATTTAAATATCTTTATTCAATAAAAGGATTACACTTGTTGATTGTCAAAATACTACTACCGGTTCGGAAACAAAGCTGCTGATCTGAAAAGATCCATCGAAAGAAACTCAGCAGGACAATTTTTTTAACATAATTTGACAATAAAAAGCATGTTCACAGTATTGCCTATATGCCTCTAAATTACCTATATTAAATTCCACTTGAAAGAACCTTGAGAGATCAATTCATTTTCAGACTGTTTTCAGAGCCTTTTAACACACTAACCCTTCCTTTACAAGTTTGAATTTAGCAACTGATTCATTTTAAACGTTTTCATGGATTTTGTTATCTACAAGTAGAACTATTTTTAAGATATTCGGAATAGTGTCTCTAAAATGAAATGGTTTTAAAACGAAACGCAATAGGCACTTAGGGCAATGGCATACAAACCGATGGCGATGGTGGCTCGAATTTAAGTGGCTGTGGGCAGTTTGCAGAATAGTCAACTCGGTAACTATTCCGGGAACAGTTCCAAATATGTAGTTTGAATTCGAAGTCACGTTTATAAGTTATAAGACCTGCGTGAACTGTTCGTGCTTTCTACGAAGAAATTTATTTATGTGCAACATCGGAAAGAATCAAGTTATGGTAAAAAAGCAAGGACTTTTGTCTTTTCTGTTTCAAGACGACGCTAACACCAATTTCCATTTAATGAAAATATGACAAATAAGATGAGAATTCTGAACTCCAAGATATATATTTCATTTGTTTATAGTTAATAATTAGCCGAAGCTGTTCTTACAATAAAATTTATTATTGTTTAGGTTGTTATAAAGAACAAATCGGTTATACATAGTTCGCTCGTAACTAAGTGTATGCGTCTGACGTAACGAATGAGCATAATATAATAAAGTATGTCAAACGAATATTGCCATAAAATCATAACACAAAAATTGAGGGTTTTGGACACAACATATTATTTAGATCCTAAGTTTTTTTTTATATTCTCAAATAATTAGTTTTTATTTCGATATTTATTAAGATTCGTCTGATTCATAAAGACTCATGTTCTTAGCTTTTACCGGTTTAGTCTAATTTAGGACTGTTAAATTATATCAAGATGATCATTAACAGATATGTAAAAGAAATATTTGAAATTTTTAATTTTAAGTGCTGACTTACGACGTGCTCAGCGGTAAAGGAAAACATCGTGAGGAAACGTGCATATTTCCAAAATAATGACGAAAAGAAGGATGTCTGCCAATCCGCAGTGCAGTCGCGTTTCTGGACTATATCCGCTGTTACTTTAAGTTACTAACGATAACATTGAATCACCGATAATTGAACCAGGAAACTGTTTTCGGGATGAATGGAAATTAATTATTGATTGTATACTCGACAATAAACTGAGATTTATGATTCGAACGAAGAGCTTCCAATATCTCCACACACACAATAATTATATAATATATCGACCTGGAGGCCATGTGTAATAATGACAACATATTAAAGGTCAATTAATGAAAAAAGTCGTTGACGTATTTGCTAAGCTATTGGCTTCGACGCTGGAGGTCATGGGTTCGATTCCCACACGGGACAATTGTTTGTTAGAGTTACAGATCATTGTTCCGGATCTGGGTGTTCCCAAGAAGGGTGGTGATTAAAAACACTTACAAACCAGTTACAACATGGTTCACATGTTGTGCCTACCACACCTAGGTGAGATAAGGGCTGGAGGATGATGAAGATGAATTAATAAAAAAAGAAGAATTTATTCGACACAACACTGAAGTTCGTAAATAACAATAGTAAAAAATGTTCATTTAATATAAAATGGTTTTACAATCGCATTAGTTAATATTAAATAAATAAAATAAAATAAAATAAAATAAAATAAAATAAAATAAAATAAAATAAAATAAAATAAAATAAAATAAAAATCTTTTATTTCAGGCTTAAGAACCCATATAGTGTTAGTAACCAAAATTTTGATCGATTTGACCAAGTGAAGCGATATCATCCGGAAGTAGGCATGTTTCTTGTTGTGCTAAAAGGTCTGCAGACTGACACAGTAATCTTATGTCCTCAATAGAACTTGCCAAAGATTTGCAGTTGAAGGTTATAAATTTTACTCTAGAGTTATCTATATCCATATTTATTTATCATTATTCTTTGAATTACCATAATTCTTCATAAATCTTCTGAAAGTCACACCTTCAGGCCACATACTGTCGTCCAGGAACACGGATAATTTATTTTTCGGCACATATACAATATATGCATTATACTGTCTTTGCTCCTTTGTATTTATTTTTGAGGTTCACAGTTATTTCAGATTTCACTTTTATATATTCAATAATATCTTCCTCCTTTGTATTTATATCTACGTAGTTAATAAATAACGGTATCTTTACAACCGCAGCTCTAAACTTCTCCTCGGAATTCGAACAAGCTTTGCCTTGCATACTCACAAACCGGTTTCTGTACCGTTTTTTCTGAACAACTTTCCATTCTTCATTACCAGTATCTTTATTGCAATGCTTTGGATCCTGTATCTCCTTCACTATTTCAGATATTAATTTCTCCGGCCGCATCATTAAATCCAACTCGGAACTCTGTACAGCACTGTTGTTATTAATATTATTAGGACTCCTTGACATTGACTTTTCTAACGTCAGTTGATCCGTAATGTCACCTGTATCATTTTGCAATGTCGTTGTCATCAACTGACATATGGGTGAGCGCGACGGTGGATCGTTGTGAACGTCGCTGCTGTCTCTGCCGTCGCCGGTATAAGATGACTCATCGACTTGATGTGTTTGCATGTGGGTAAGACCAATAGGTCCACTATCCAAACAATAACTGTTATGCAAACCACCGCCTCTTTTATGATTTACAAATCTATCTGCATGACTAACTAATGACGCATTTTTCATATATAATAACTCTGACTTTAACTCCTGCATTTGAGTCGTCGTGACATATGTGTCTTTGATATTCTGTAAATCGGTTTTGAACACTATTAAATCCTTAAGAAGTCTTGATGCATCAATGTGGTCAAATGTCAATGGTGGCAATTTTTGTAAGTCTTTCGCCACAAACACAGGTAATTCGTCGGGATTTGACTCTTTAAAAACCGCTATAACATCATACAGATCCTTCATTGATTTCTTTCCCTTCTTTCTGGCTATTTTTCTTTGAGATATCGCCGTAAACAATAAGCTTTTTGCAGAATCAATATCCTCCTCCGAGAAACTTGACAGGCACAAAGTCACTAAAGATTTCTCGACCATAACATCTTGCTTGTTTTGGATGAAAGCAAGAAGCTCGTTTATAACAACATTACACGACGCACATTTTAACGTACTAGCTGCCATATTGACTGACATAAGTAATAATTTTTTTTTTTTTATTCAAACACCTCAAAAAGGGTTACAAGTGGCGAACTCAATGCCTACTGGCATTCTCTACCAGGCAACCCAGGGCGTGAGGAGAAATTGTGGAAGGTGCAATAAATGAAATTGCAATATGTTTTTTTTTTATGTAAAAGTTGCCAAACGAGCAGACGGTTCACCTGATGGTAAGTGAATACCGCCACCTATGGACATCTGCTACACCCGAGGGTTACAGATGTGTCGACAATCTTTTGAAAATTGGGCTCCGGTTACCTCACTCACCAGACGAAACGCGAAAGTATTTGTCATACTTCCACTTTACGCTGGTCTTCTGTGAGGTCGTGGTACTTACCCGGACGGGCCTGCCCATTCGTGCAACAGCCGAGGCTGCTGCGTGGCCCAACCACCATAAATTATGTGACTTAAACAAATAATCCTTACTAATATTATAAACGCCAAAATTTGTATCTATGGAAGGATGTTTGTTACTCTTTCACGCAAATACTACTAAATGGATTTTAATGAAACTTTACATTAATATAGCTTATACATCAGAATAAGACATAGGCTATAATTTATATACATATTTTATGTATATCTGCCTTACTGTCTCAATGTTACGCCTTCAGCCTATTCACCGTAGACGTAGTCGCGGGCAGCAGCTAGAACTAAATAAAGTTAACGGTTGAATATTTGAACGTTGACGAGTGTTATAAATTCTCTACAAATTCTTATATAGTACTGAGTCCACAAAGACAGATAACAGACAGAATCCGCTGAGTCTAGTTATTTGGAAGCGTATTAATTTTATAATAATTCATAATGAGAAAAATATGCAGTAACTAATGCAGTGTTATTTTTATAAGAAAGAAAGAAAGAAATATTTATTTGGTACATAACAAACAAAACATAAAATAGAAGCAAAATAAAAATAACAATTAAAATTTAGAAATCACAACTTGAAATCAACGTACCAAAAAGGTCATAAATAAGTCAAGTCCATAACATAACGTGGTAATAGATAATGTTAAAAATGTTATCTGTTTAAGTGTACTTGAAATTAATACGCTTTGAATTTTTAAAATGGTCTTATAAAACTATTCTTTAAATAGTAAAAGGTGAAAAGATACACAGTAGCTAAAAGAGGAGAAAACAAACGAATGAGACCCTTTGTACAATTTGTGAGATTTCTTTATCCCAGACTTTCCTTTGATGTTTATAGGACCGGTTACACTTGTAAGTTTGCATCAACGACTAGGAATCGAACCGGATTTCTTTTACCATAAACTAATACTAAAGTTGTCTATCGTCAATACAGAGTGTTAAGAAAATACCGCTGGTGTAAAAAAATTTATCGTAAGCGTAAACACACGTCCATGTCGCATTTTACATGTCACAACTTTTTTTATAATAATTCGCGTAAATGAGCAGCTATACTTATTCTCGTGGTGGTTTTTGACAAAATTACGCTAGTCACATTTTTAACAAAATCAGATTCTCTGGAACTAAAATAGCATTTTTTTCGTAAATTTCAAAATCACCACTGAACAAGCTTGTTGTACAAAACTGCCACATACATTTTTTTTTTTTCACTATTGTAAGTTAAAGTTAAGCGATAAGAAATTTATACTGTGAAAATTTAAATAAAAATTGTATTTCTTGAAAACATTTTAGTTTTTAATAGATAAAGACTAATCAATAAGTAAAGTAACTATTCAAAAATAATTTGAGGTAAAAAAAAACTAGAAAAGGAATTTTTAATTACGAGATGCTTAAAAATCTGTGTCAAGGTAGAGATTTTTAGATATTTCGGAAAAATTTGTACTACTGTAAATCCGTAAGATTTTGCTGAACATATATTGTTTTTTGGTAGGTATTGACCCAAGCTCTCACCCCCTGTAGTATGTCGTGCTATTTACTGGACACCCTGTATTTAATTCATATTCATATCCTGCATTCTTGCACATGCTTGAGTAGGTGTACGCCCATCTTGCCAATTAGGCGAAGTGAACATAAACGAGCAATGAACAGAGTAGAATGCGAATAAGCCTCTATTTTCCTTGCTAATTGCTACACAAGGAGTAAACATTATCCTGTGCCGTGCCAATTTGTCCTGTATCTTAGTACCTTGACTTGCTTCGTTATGCTTAGCTTCCCGAAGCCTCATTAATTTGGTTTGATATTTTCCCGAACATAATCATGTCGATATGTAATTAGGGCGACGGAGACGTGTGCCTTTTTTTGGGTTTTTTTTATTTGGATATGGATAACATTATGCTGTGTTGCAAGGGCGTTTTACAAATGTACATATTTCACATGGACAAACACCCAGATGCGAAACAACTATATGTCTGGGTCACGCTGAAGCCTATACCTTGGTAACTGCGGCACGGAGTTTTTTTTTTTTATGTGAAAAGTTGCCAAGCGAGCAGGCGGTTCACTTGATGTTAAGTGAATACCGCCGCCCATGGACATCTGCTAGACCCAAGGGTTGCAGATGCGTTGACAACATAGTGAAAATTGGGATCCGGCCACCAACTCACCAGACGAAACGCGAAAGTATTATACTTCCACTTTACGGTCTTCTGTGAGGTCGTGGTACTTACCCGGACGAGCCTGCCCATTCGTGCAACAGCCGAAACTGCTGCATGGCCCTACCACCGTTAAAAGTCGGAGTAAGGTAATCGTAAGGATATTCGTGGTAATTTTACTATAATTTTTGAAGATTTGAATTTTTAAATTTTGAATTATTAAAACGTTTTAAAAATAATTACGGTATTTTTAAGATTATTATTTTACTATATGATTAAATTAATAACTCAATTCACAGGATATCTCTTTTTGTAGTATACCTACATATCAAGCTTTCCCCTATGTAGGTACTTTTATGGAGACCTGTACTGTATTATTTTATGTGAAATTTTGACACCATAGGTGCCCATTCAGTACATTTCTGCCAGGGAAAAATATGAATAAAAATCATTATTGTAAATGTGAATCGTGGACAGAGAATCCAAGAGAAGACATAAAAAATTTAGTGCATCGCCAGCGCATAAATTTTATTATTATGAGGATGTTATCATTGGGGTCCTATTTCAATTAAAATTTGCATGTTAAATAACAGCATTTTTAAATTTTCGATTTTTTTTATCCAATTAAATAGTCACATAAAATTCTTCAACCGAGATCATTTATTTTATCTGCATATATCCTACCTAGATGGGAAGTAAGCTCTATTTATACGACCATTGCTTATGTCAACCCTCCTTGGGAATCAAGTAATCGAACCCATAATCCCCTAAGTCGAAGCCCCCTAAGCATTCATGTTTCCTCAATACTAATCTTTTACGAAATGTTTACCACTTACGCTGGCAGCCCACTAGTTGAAAATTATAACGCACGACAAGAGAAAATGTCTGTTGATTTAAGACTAACTGTTAAATTCATAAATTATTAAAGCACAGTTTACGATAGCCGACACCTGCTACAGATTGACGGCAACGTGCCATGCTCTGATGTATTGTATTGTTATTCACAGGTCTAGATGGCGACTCCTAATTGTATGTCACTTTAATCTTCTTTATGTGTAAGTCAAATAATCGCTATGTATTTTATAATAGTTAATGTTAAAAAGATATTTATGTAAAAGTTTGTTTAAATCTATACAGATGAATGTAATTGGAGCGTCTGTTTGTAATCTTAAAGTACATATACCAAAATAGCATTTTTTTACAATATTTGTCTATCTGTCTGTTTTCTGTGTCTGTTTGTTCCGGCTAATCTCTGAAGCGGCTGTTACCGAATTTGACGGGACTTTCACTGGCAGGTGTAAAGATGTGATAAGCAGTAACCTCAGGCTACTTTTATCTTAGAAATTTAATTTATTTTAAATTCCACGCTGACGAAGTCGCGGGCTCAACCTATATATAGTTTTATAGTAATTTCATTCATGACAGTAGTTATTTGAAATCAAATTGCTCTAATGAATTAAGAGTGAACGTTAACGCACGGAGATTTCCGCCCGGTTTCTGAAACGCTGATCTTCGTAGATGTTAACTAATCAGCTGTCGAATGGCTTTTCAAATGTCATCTGACTTGCCAAAAGGATGGTTAAACTCTCTGAATTGACCAGAATGATCTTCTTAATGATCACAATAATAAGTGTTTCAGAAACCGGACCTTCGATATTATATTATATACTTAAAATGAGCCGTTTTATAATATAACTAGAAATACGAGATTCTGATAATATACGACTATCTGTTCGTGTGTGACTCGTTGCAACGAGTATGACAATAGGGTGTACTGTTGTCGAAGTTTGAAGAACTTTGTTGAAGTTCGCAAATGGAAATCCGCGGACTCCAATTAAAGTTGAAACAAACAATGCAATCGGTTAATTTACGTAGACGAATTGACAATAGATTTGTTTA